GGGGGGGGGGGGGGGGGGGGGGGGGTGGGTTGAAAGGGTTTCTATACTTAATACTTTTGCGAGTACTTCTGTACACACCAACTTCAGCATATGACTAATGGTTGCTTTATTCAGTAAATTAGTTAAAGACACATTGGGTAATTCAAGCATTCTATAGAACAGTGGTTCCCAAAAGTTTAAGTTTGGCGGACGGGGGACAAGTATTTAAATTTTACCAGGGACCGGGTGCATGATTTATTTTTATACTTTTATCTCTATTTGACACTAAATATTTATGGTATGGGGACCGGCATCGTTAGGCATGTGGACCGGTGAAGGTCCACTGACCGCCATTTGGTGACCACTGCTATAGAATGTCCACCGGCTCTAGTCAAAGGGTGAAATACATATATACTATACATATTTCCTAGTCATTCGACAGAATGCCTGGCTGGAATATGGCAGGGTATATAATAACATGAAACAGATTGGAACTTTTATAACACCAAAAAAAAAAAAAAAAAAAAAAAAAAAAATAGTTGGGGCAAGAACAATTAATTTCATGTGAAAATGGCCATTAGATGTTTTCATGTTTTGTTTTTTTCTGTTTTTGTTTTTGTTTTAAATTATTTCAGCCGTCTTAATTATTATAATACAAACATGTTCTATATTGAGATATGCTGTTATTATTATAATACAAACATGTTCTATATTGAGATATGCTGTTATTATTATAATACACACATGTTCTATATTGAGATATGCTGTTATTATTATAATACAAACATGTTCTATATTGAGATATGCTGTTATTATTATAATACAAACATGTTCTATATTGAGATATGCTGTTATTATTATAATACAAACATGTTCTATATTGAGATATGCTGTTATTATTATAATACAAACATGTTCTATATTGAGATATGCTGTTATTATTATAATACAAACATGTTCTATATTGAGATATGCTGTTATTATTATAATACAAACATGTTCTATATTGAGATATGCTGTTATTATTATAATACAAACATGTTCTATATTGAGATATGCTGTTATTATTATAATACAAACATGTTCTATATTGAGATATGCTGTTACACATGTCCTCTTTAATTATGCATACATGTTAAATTTTAAGTAAACATAAAACGATAACATAAAATAACACAAGTAAAAGGGTTAATTATTATTTGGAAGTTGCATTCTGAACCAAAATTAGTTGCTTTGAAGGCACTACGAAAATACGTCTTGCGTTAATTCGTGAGAAATCAAGTTAACTTTCAAGAAGTTAAATTAGAACAGGCTTGGACAACTCAAAATGTAAGGCGGGTCGTAATACTTTATAAAAAACTTGTGCGGCCCGAAAGTTAATAGGACTGGGGGGAAAGCTATTAATAAAACAATAATAAAAAATATTTCGTTACTTCGAGGGCCGCAAAGTGGGTGCTGGCGGGACGCATGCGGCCCGTGAGACTATGTTGTGAAGGCCCGATTTAGACCATTGTTTTTAGTAGGAAAATTCGAACCATGAATGCGATTATTTATAATTGATTGATACAAATACTCATCAGAAAGTTTTCAAATAAGTGCCAAGGTCCTTCCTGAAAATGTCTTAACATTTTTAAAACAGTCCCGTCTCAAATGTACACGTTTCTACGCCCTAGACCAAAGCACCAGTGTTTCTTTCAGCTATATCTCCGGGGGGGGGGGGAGCCAAGTGCCCCCCCCCCCCCCGGCAAAAAAATATCCCAAAAAAAAA